AATTAAGCAAACTATTTGATTAATTGGTGTTTCTAATGAATTATCATGTATTCTTAATCATATGATTATGTTCTTATTGCATATAATTAAGAGTTTAACCAATCATAAATGTCCATGTATGTACAGTCTGGATAAACGAAAAAAGACTTTTTGACATTTCTTGATCGATCACTAATCGAAATTCTGCTGGTAGTTCTCTTCTGATTTAGCTAATTATGATTTAATTATAGACATGTGTGACAAACTGGTAATTTTCTACTTTCTAAATTTCATTTATGACGAGTACCATGTGTCTATTCTGGATGAATCCCTCGAAGATATCCTATGGATAAAACTCACGCACAAATCAAGTGATACATGTGTGTTTTTATGCGTGTGCTACCTACCCCCTAATGGATCTTCATATATGACAGACGCAGAACAGTTTTATAATAATTTGTTGAATCAGGTATATTCTTTTCAAAATGAAGGTCTTGTGGTGATTTTAACTCTAGGGTGGGTGACCAATCTGATCTGATTAGCTGCCTCTAACGTAAATAGAGATTCCCTTTGGTTTAAATTACAGAAAGCTGGTCTGAATGGTAAAATACTCAAAGCTGTAAAATCCTTATACAACAATGTTAAATGTTCAGTAAGATTAAACGGTCAGTATACACCTTGGTTTCAGGCTAACTCCGGAGTGAAACAGGGTTGTGTGCTGTCACCATTGTTATTCTCTGTTTACGTTAACGATCTGGCTATAGCTATGAGTGAATTAAACTGTGGTATTGATATTGATAACTGTAATGTTGGTATTTTGTTGTATGCAGACGACATAGTTTTAATTGCACCATCAGAAGATAAATTGCAAACTATGTTAAACAAACTTAACTCATGGTGCATTAAATGGCGCATGTCTGTTAATAAGACAAAAACTAAAGTTATCCACTTTAGACCATCAACATGGCAGTTATCAAATAGAATATTTAATATTGGGAATATAAATGTTGATTACTGTAAATGTTATAAATATTTGGGAGTATGGTTAGACGAACATTTAACTTTTAAACTATGTATTAACGAATTAGCTAAGTCTGCTAGTAGGGCATTGTCAGCACTTCGTACTAAACACTTCCAGGCGGGTGGATTCCCATATAATATTTTCACCAGACTTTACGAATCGCTAGTACAGCCAATTATGTCATATGGTGCTGGAATATGGGGTATGGTAGGGCATAAAAAATTGAATAGTGTACAAAACAGAGCATGTAAGTTATTTCTGGGCCTGAAACGAAACAGTCCAAACCTGGCAGCTAGGGGCGACATGGGTTGGACTTCATGCCTTACAAAACAAACCCCACTTAATTGTCGAACCTGTCCCTTTTGTTTAGAGATTGAGACAGAAACTCATTTTTTAGTAGAATGTGATATGTATTCAGATATCCATTTTGAACTATTTCAGGAAATGCATAAAACAGATAATAATTTCTATAACCTGTCCCCCAAGGAAAAAATTATCATCATCTTATCTAGTGATCTAGTCAACCCCAAAACTATAAGCAGTTATATATACGAGATGTTCTCTAGGAGAAATTATTATATGTCATATAATTATAGAACTTAATACTAAATTATACTGCCTCATAAGATTTTATTTTTATACTAATTTTATTTTGTACTGTTTTTAGATATATTAAATCGTGTCTCATATTCCTATATGGTCGGACGATGATGAATTTATATGTATTTTTTAATGAATTTTATTTTATGTATATTTCATCGTGTGATACGTTAATAAACATTTCTTCTTCTTCTTCTTCCATTAATAGCTGATTGTAGTCGACCTTATAGTCTACCTACTGTATGTGGTAAACATAAAGATCTCAAGTCTATTTCACCTCAAACTGTAAGTAATATTCAAGCGCATTTTTTATTCTTAGAAATTTCATATTGGATATAATTAAAACCAAATATGAATAACAAACTGTTTTTTTTATTTGATCTGTATAAATATTAAGTATATCATTTATATTTCAGGTTGAAGATTTATTAAATGGAAAATATCCAACTATAGATAATAATTATATGATACTAGATTGTAGATATCCATATGAATATGATGGTGGTCATATCCAGGGAGCAGTTAATACTTATATTAAAGATTCTATAGATAATTTATTACAATTACAAGAGATAAACCTAGAATTCTAATATTTCATTGTGAATTTTCTTCACAGAGAGCACCTACACTGTAAGTATAACATATCTTAAATCTAATATTCAAACAAGTGCATGCTATCATCGGACTTATACTATATTTGAATGTATGTGTTGTATAATACATTAGCCCGCAATATTCCCGAAATTATATGTTATACATTGTTATTTTTCAGATTACGATATCTTCGATCTCAGGACAGATTATTGAACAGTGATAATTATCCTAGTCTATATTACCCAGAAGTCTATATTCTAGATGGAGGATATAAAGATTTTTATGAACGAACACAGGTAAATATATTTAGATTTCATATAATAGAATTATTCATAAATCAGAAAATTATTGCAATAGGTATTACTTAAACAATTTTAATATAGAAATAATATTAAATAGATCCACTCTGTTTTATATTTCAGAATCTGTGTGAACCCTGTGATTATATTCAAATGTTAGACCCACTGTTTACTGAAGAATTATCAATTTTCCAGAGTAAAAAATCACGAGGTAATAGAAGTAGAGAAGAAAAGACGAGAAAACCTCGTGTTATCAGATTTTGATTTGTTATTGTTTTAAATTGTTATATATTTGTTATTGTTATGTTATTTGTTACCTTTAAATCATTGTACAGTGTTATTGAATAAAAATAAATCATTCTGTAGTGTAGTAGCTGTTTAAATCTCTTCAGAAAAAATATACTGTATCGTTAAAGAAAATTCGTTATGTAGCTCCCACTGACATAGTGTCTGTCAACTTTAAATATACTAGAAAATAACTGATGATTATCATCAATCTCATCATCGATGTTCTCTACCTAAATCTCAGTTCTAAATTGTTACAATGTAATTCAGATGATTAACGAATATTACTTTGAATACCAAGAGATCTATCAAAATTGTAACAACTATTATTTTGTTGGATTATTTTATTAACTAAGGTACTACATGTATATGACAATAAACAATACAATATAACCTGATCATAAGCTTCAAACAAAACAAAACAAAATTTTCAAATTTGCATGTCGATATGTTAATGTGTATAATTGTTATTCATGAGTCTATTATTATTATTATAAATGAATAAACTGAATCATTATTGTCATTTAATTCCATTGTAATAGCCATTTGTTTGTTTCTATAAAATATACTATCACTGATCATATTAGTATTGTTGTTATAGCCCACAGAGGAGTGGGATGTTGAAGGTTTGCAAGTTAATGCTTGTTAAGGTAAAGTTGTTTTTCTTTTTTTTGCATTTGCGAGAACGTTGCTTGTCTTCAACTTTAGTAAAGAGGCGGTGTACCCTTCTACAACTTCAGTGATCTTTTCTGGTAATGTGATTTCAATGGTGAAATTATTATTTTCAGAAACACTAGAGTGATTTTGTTTCACTTACTATTTGGTATAAAACAGAAGACATATAGTTTACTAAAGTCGAGTTGTAGTTCGCGTTACATCTATGATGTTGGAAATGAGTTGGTTTATTTACCTTATGATATTGTGTCTTCTCAGTTATATCATTTATATATGGATGACCAACAATAAGGGGAGACTACCCCCAGGTCCTTCCCTCATTGAATCTATTAAAATTATGTATGGATTTATCACAAGAGAAGACGGATTTTTAGTTGCAGAGAAACTGGCTTTCCGATTTGGAGAAATTGCCAATGTTCGATTCCTTGGTAACAATATGATATTTCTCAACAGTTCTAGAATTATTAGGAAACTTTTAACCACGTCTGCTTATCGTGACGTCACTAACGACCGACCACCATCTTTTCTTAAAGATTATCTTTTTCAAA